AGCTAATGTATACATTTGCGCATGCATAGCTCGAATGTGAGTAAGAGACACAAAAACACCACACAAGAGAGAGAGAACAGATAGAGGAGGGAGAGTGAGAGGGAGAGGGAAAAAAGGAGGGGGAGTGAGAGGGAGAGGGAAAGAAAGGAGGGGTGAGGCATTCTCAAGACAGAGAGTGTTTTCTAACAGTTACATACAATGATACAAAGTTACATACACTGGTACAGGTTTTTGTACACTTTTGGACATTTAAGTCACACTTATAATAGTCTGTTATTCACATTTCACATGGATTAGGTACAAAACCAAGTGGCATGTGCTGAAGTGATGCTCGATCTTTTCTCAGAACCAACTCCACTTTTCTGAACCACTTTTTAAAGTATTTTTAACCAGGTCTCTTTTTAATGGATGTATGGATTGAGTTCTGAAAGTAAAAGTTTCCAAGACTTGTCTATATTTTCAAGAAAATATCGTTTTAATTTTGTGAAATGTTTTCATTGAAAAGTACTAATTTTAAAAATTTATTTTAATACCATGGTGTTTTGTTATATAATGCAAATATATTTATACAATTTTAATTGTGGCTTAGGTGCCCAAAGCCACTGTATATGCTCTTACATATGATTTACATTTATGCATTTTGTAGACACTTTTATCCAAAATGACTTGCATCGCTTACAAGGTCTTCATTTTGATCAGTTCAAGCATTTCCTGGGAATCAAACCATCGCTAGCACCACAGGAATATATGATATCTGTAAGATGAATTTTAGAAATTAAACATCTTTGTAGGTATTATATTTGCCAATGGAGAGAGTTGGAGAGAGATGAGACGGTTTGCTCTCACCAACTTACGAGACTTCGGGATGGGAAAGAAAAAGATCGAGGAGAAAATCATAGAGGAAACATGCCATTTACTAGAGGAATTTGAGAAGTTTGAAGGTAAAGTACATTTATTAATTCAGCCAATGCTTTTACCAATGAAAGATGCAACAACACATGATTTATCTTAAAGAGACAGTAACAAAGTTACAAAAGTCTCCTTGAAAAACACATGGAGATAAATACAGCAATGTAGACAGATGTACTGAACACTACGACCTGTTCTTTTGTAGGAAAACCTTTTGAAACCACACGGCTGATGAACTACGCTGCCTCAAGTGTCATCTCTTCCATTGTGTATGGACGCAGTTTCAAGTATACAGACCCTCAGCTACGGTGTATGGTGGATCGTATGCTGCGTATGCAAATCTTTTTGACGTCATTCTACCTTCATAGGATCGAGCTAATGAGAGCGTCAGGCTGAGTGGAACAGCATCCGTGCAGGTATACAGGTTATTTCAATATATTCGGTGAGAATAGAGATAATCAAGAGGTTTATAATGGCATACAGTATTGCATTATGGTCATAGAAACATCTCTTGGTTTTTGTTCTCCAGCTCTACAACATGTTTCCTTTCTTGAGTCCATGGCTCAAGAATCTGAAACTAATCATGAATAACCTAGCACTCGATATCAAAGAGATATCAGAGCTGGTGAGCAGTTTACATCAAACACTGAACTCGCAGGATCTCAGAGGCTTTGTGGATTCGTTCCTCATCCGCATGCAGAATGCAGAGGTATTTATTTAGGTTAATTTGAACACTAATCTTGGTTTTTTACCTCTATACATCTCTAACCTACCATTTGGTCAGGAATCTGGAGTGAAGAACTCGCTTTTCCAGAAGCAGAACCTCATTTTCACAGTCGCCAACCTGTTCGTCGCTGGTACGGACACTACTAGTACAACACTGCGCTGGGGCTTGCTGTTTATGGCCAAATATCCACATATACAAGGTATGATAGAAATTCTTAAAACATTAAAGGAATATTCTGGGTTCATTATGGCATGATAATAATAATAATAATAATAATAATATTTCCACATCAAATTAATTTCCTTTAAAAAATATCTGCGTTAGAGTGAGGCATAATGTTAAAATACTTGCTATTTCAATAGTACAGCCACACAACGTGTGTTAACATGATTTTCTGTTCAAGTTATGTCCAAATTTCAAACATTGTCATCATGACAACCCAACGCCATAAACCATAAAAACAACATGATATTTTTAAAACATCTTTAGTAACCATTCACGCAGAATGCATTTTGCGTTTAAAAACACGAGAGGCAGGGCAGTGGAATGACAAAATAAGTTTAACCCATTTTAAAAAGATTTTGCATTCAACTGTGCTGCCTTTCCATTGTTTTTCCACGTTAACATGCACTAGACCACATGTATCAAACTGTCCTGCAGAGAGTAGCTCCAACCAGCTCCAAAACACCTGCCTGGAAGTTTCTAGTAATCCTGAAGACTTTGATTAGCTGGTTCCGGTGTATTTAATTAGGGTTGAAGCCAATGCTGTGTTCCATTTGTACACTGAAGCTGGAAATTACGATTTCCCATTAGGAACTTTTAACGTGCTCCCAAGTTGGAGTTCTGATTTGGAATCTTGGAGGAATCGCAACAACTCCAACTTCAGAATCCGATATGGCTGCTCAGTGCATCAACAGAAGAGAAACAGTAGTAATATACTGGGTGCGTCTCAATCAGCTCCCTAGTTCAGTAGTCAGGGCACTGATCAGGGAGTCGGCCGTTTTAAAATCCTGCCAGTGCACTGGAACTTTCGCTCCCTGAAAAATGCCACAATGCACCGCAAAAACTAGGGAGCATTAATGCTCACTATGCTCCCTTACTAGAAATTACATCACATTTCTGAAGCATGACACATAAACCACACGAGCCAACTGGATAAATATGATGCGTGCCCTGATTCGTGAACAAGATATACTGATTCACAAGCTCGGGAGCTGATTGAGACGCACCCATTGTTTATTAGCACTTATGTTTGTCTGTGTCTCAATAAACTGCATGCTAAATGTGGTGCACACAGTACTGTTCCCTATTTGTGGACATGATACTATGGCGTTATCTGTGCAAAATACCGTTTTTTATGTGTTCTTAATCGACTGGTATGGTTAACAATGGATACTTCCATGGGTTTTCTCACTATACTGGAACACGGTCCACTTGCGTGTGATCATTCCCAGCTCCGACATCCGACTTCCGAAGTAAATGGAATGCAGCATAAACTCTGCAGGACAGTGGCCCAGGATCTAGTTTGGACACCCCTGCCCTAGATGGATGTCTTGACCGTTGCGCTTGAGTCTTATGTTTGTCAGCATCTCTTGCATGTGCGCTGCGTTGTGTCAAGTTATAAGAAGTTTATATGAAAAAACAACAACATGGGATTCATTCCACTTGTGTATTTAAACGCGAAATCTCGTTCAATGTGGAGAGATCCCTACAGCTCCAATAACACCCATGCCTTAACAGAAGAATAAAAGTAGGGTGCTTTTATAAAATTATACAGCACATTTTTTTTAAACCTCCAAACAAGGCCCCACTTAAGAGCCAATAAAAAAAACAAAAAAAAAGAGGACGGATGTGTGAAAATTATTTTTGTGGTAAGCTACATTATGCCACAAATGCTGTACATTGAGCTGAACTTGCACTGAACCCGGAATATATCCTTTATCAATCAGTCACAGTGTTTTTTTTGTTTTGGTTAACAGGCATGACATTTAGCATTTTCGCTGTTCTGTGTGTGACTTGTTAAATATAGCTTACTATGTTTGAGCATGTCTTGTGCTGGTGGACTGAGTTCAGAAAGTGAAATTTAAAATGTGATGTGTTTGCAGATCGGCTTCAGGAGGAGATTGACCAGGTGATCGGTGGACGGCAACCGGTATCAGAGGACAGGAAGAACTTACCGTATACAGACGCTGTGATCCACGAAACCCAGAGATTTGCTAACATAGCACCCATGAGTATCCCACATATGACCAGCTGTGACGTTCACTTCAATGGATACTTCATCAAGAAGGTTAGTGTATTGTAAAATAATATAAAAAACTGAAATAATTCCTAATACAAATGCAGTTTTCCCACTACATTACCCCATTCCACCAAAGTAATATAATACGTAAAAATGAACATACATTTTCAAATGCACAAAATATTCACCTTTTAGTGAGAAACATTAAGATGCTATGTTTTTCCTTGAGCAGGGCACATGTGTATTTCCTCTTCTAATGTCTGTACTGTGGGATGAGGATGAATGGGAAACACCTCGTAACTTTAACCCCGAACACTTCCTGGACAAGCAGGGGCGATTTGTGAAGAGAGACACCTTCTTGCCCTTCTCTGCAGGTACCGTTTTCCTTCATGCAGGGTTTGATTGTCTTCTTTATTCATGAAATATCCTTTTTAAATGGTCTCAAACGAAAGTTGATGGGCCAAGGCTTCTGTTTCTATGCCCTGGTGAAAGGAAACAAATTGTTTATTGTAGATTTTGTTCTTTCTGATGTGTAGAGGTTTGTGGCCTCTCTCTTTCAGGCCACAGGGTTTGTCTTGGAGAGGGTTTGGCCAGGATGGAGCTCTTCCTGTTCTTCACCTCCCTCTTTCAGCGTTTCCGTTTCACTCCTCCTCCAGGAGTGTCTGAAAATGATTTGGATCTCACTCCAGCGGTGGGCTTCACCTTGAACCCGACCCCACATAAACTGTGCGCAGTCAAACACTTGTGAACTCTTTTACAGTAAAGTTGATGCAGTCTGTATTTGTTTTAACACAAAATAACGCATTACATTTGTGTGTTCATTCTTTATATGCAAAGTGAAAGCTCAGAAATCATGATTTTTAAGCATTCACCAAAAAAAAAAAAAAAAAAACTATGAAAACCATGTCATAAATAAAATAAGAAAGGTCAAGTGTGCCATTTTTTGCACTATTTATTTTTTTATTTTTTTATTTTGGCATTTCGAATTAAACGATGTTTGCCAGACTTAAGCCCATCCCTTTCTTACAATCGACTGCAATCTCAGAGATCGTGGATAGAACCAAGGCCCAGTGTTTTTATTTTTTGATAATCAGTTTCACCTGGATGCATTTTAACATGCTGGTAAATTAACTAACTACAAGACAATTGCAAAATGCCAGTGTTTAATGATTAAATAAAACTATTCATTTCACAGACATTTCATTAGATTTTAATAGTTTTTTTTTTTCTTTTTGGAGGGTTTTAAAAGTGTAAAATTGTCTTTTTTTGTCTGCTGTCTTTGACATCAGAGGTCACATTTTGTTTACGTGGGATTGAAAAACTAATTCAGCAATTGTATATTGAATTTCAGTAATTATATTAATATTGATTTGTATATTGCATATGGAATTTAAGGAATTATACTGAATTTCTAAGTACAAGATAAGACATTAGGGGCCTCATTTATAAAACATGCGTACGCACAGATTTGATCTTAGAGTGTGCCTACACTAAAATCCAAGACAACGTTGATAATACTCAATAGAAAAAATATAACTACACACACATCGTAAAGTTTTGTTTTTCTTTGTGCTCTTCATTCTAAAGCATAGAAATTCGGATATTGGCGTGTGCTCTTTTATATGGTAATGTTATTAATTAGGGGGCGGAGATCTGACGCCAGTCATCTGCACACAATTTCAAGATCATTTGCGATTTATAAATGTCACATCTGAAAGAGAGGCGTACGCACGTGTTTTTGTGCGCACTTACGCACTTTTGAGAAATGATCTTAGAACAAATTTAGGACGGTTTATACGCAACATTTTATAAATGAGGCCCCAGGTGTTTACAATAAGAATAAGAAATCCATAAGGAGTTATACGTTTACATTCTTACATCTAAATGGGCATATTCTATTAACTTTTGTTAGTTTCATATACAACTAATTATAAATAAGATACCCTAACCCTCATGGAAAGCCTGCTGCATTTTTTA